CATTATGAAACTTGTAGCCCACAGTGCTTATAGATTTTCGTTGGCCGGTCGTCTGGTAAAGTGGGCGTTGTTAAACACTTTATCGAACTTGTACGTAAACAAACATTGCAAAAATATAAAAACACCGTGCATAGCGAGTGCATAAAATCGTACTGATCTTAATTGAAAAAGCAATGTAAATTGTAGTAAATTGCCAAAACTACATGAGTTGATAGCATAGTCAAAGTCAGAGTGAAGTTGCCCTAAACAGCGCAGTTGACCTTGTTGATGTTATTAACAAGTTATTTATTTATGCTTCGTATACCCTGTTTGGTGTTGTTGTTGTGGTTGATGTTGTTGTTTTGTTTTTACTTACATAATTGCGTCTGGCACAGATGAGTATGCGCTGCATGAGCAGCAAATATTGCATGAGGAACGACGCGGAGATAATATCATGATTTTGATTCGATGTCAACGTCATCTGGTTGGCAAGCTCCATGTTTTCTGTTGCCTTGGCTAGCGGCTGCTCGAGTGACTCTGTTGGTGCGTTAAGTGCCTTGATCTCCTCTAGATCCAGCTCTTGCTGTGCCGGTTCCACATAGCTGTATCGTGTGAATTGCACCGCATCAATTCTAGACAGTTCTTGGCCCGAAGCACTCAGTTTCTTGCTGACCATTGAATCTGTAATGGATATGGTTGACATTTAAATATGAGTGATGAATACGACTTTAAAATACCTCCACTCATAACCGAAAAAGAGGCTGAGCAGCAAGTTATATAAGTTATATGAATCAATGTGGAAGCTAACTAACTAGGGATAGTTGAGTGAACTAAGAGTCTCAGGCTTTAGAAAACCTAGAGTGAACTCAAATATGTTGATCTAGTATTTTTCTTACAATATATTAAATACATACATACCTTTCATAACTGTTACAATTTGCGGTGAATTTACATTCTTGGTGTACTTCTCTTGATTGGCATCGACGTAATACTTTTTATTCGCTGCCTCTATCAGATCGCTTAGATCGCATTGATGTTCCCCAACGGCTACCTCGAGCACTATTTGAAAATGAATATATTATAGTCATTCTACATCGATAGAAATGATGTTACACTCACAATAGTCGGCTGGATTGTGATAACTGGGGCACACGAGCTGCTGTTCGGCAAGAAATGGCACCAGTGCTGGAATTGTGCCCTGGTACATACAATGGCCATCTACAACCGCATATAGCTTATCGAACATTTCGAATATCAATGCACTGGGCTGATGGATCGTGCACACAATTGTATGTCCCTGGGAGGCAAGTTTCTTTAGCAGCGATACGCAAGAGCTACAGGAGGAGCTGTCCAGTCCACTAAAAGGAAATGAGAAACAGTTCCAATAATTAGTATGAATCTAGCTACATAATAACCAATTTATACTAGAAATGTTAAGGTGTGTTGGGATTTTTTAAATATAAAATATATTATAGAAAACATACAATGAGTAGAACACATACTAATCAAATCAAATTCTCTAGGAATTATAGGAAAATTACGAATAATATATAGACTTAATCCTGTGACATAACTAAATCTATAAGCCTTGCAATGAAAAGTAGATTTTTAATAATGATAATCAAGGCTAAATTAACTGAGCTGTTGTTGCTAATCAAGAATATATATATGTATTATATGCAACAGGTTGTTGTACATATTTCATAAAGAGAATATGAGAACGATAATAAGGAAAAGGAAAAATGTAATCTAGTAAGGTGTCAGGGTTTCTTTGATATACGAACTAATTTTTATTGTTATCTGTATATTGTTTATGTTATTGATGAAAACGTTTACTATATACGTTTTTCTTCCGCGAATACAACACTGAATTTCATTAGCTTTTGTAGTATATTTAATTGATTGTTGACAGCCAAACAGATTAGAACTTTTTACATAAGTTAGGCACAGTCTAAAATATAATGTATGAGCAAATACTAACGCAAACATACATAGATAGAACATATTTATTTAATTCTCTTTTAATACCATTTAAGCAATTAAAAGCACATTTTGATAATATTGTCATAAATGATTATTCACTAGGGAATCATTAGACTATAGCTGCCCAATTACCTAATGCTCGGTAAAACCAGAAACTGTCATTATGACTTTGTAGATAAT